TGTATATATATATATATATATATATATATATCTCTTTTGAAACTTTATAAGTGTGTTTACCATCACTTTCGATCAATTTAAAGCATCCTTGCTGAATAAAGTGTTAATTTCTAAAAAAAAAACAAAAAAAACTTTTGCACAGTATATGCATTTGTCAGATTTCAATATGTCTTACAAAATGCACTGATGATAGCACACGTAATGCTGGGTACACACTGAAAGATTTTTAAAATCTTATAAGATCTTCAAAATGTGAGAGACCACAAACATGAGGACAAAAAATCCTAGATTTAACCGTTTTGCTCCTATAGTGTGTGGTGTGCCCCGATGTTCCCCCCACACATCAGAATTTCTGATCGTAAATATTCAACATGTTGAATTTTTACGATTCGCGATCGGGGTGCCTCCGACGTTCTTCCGAGCAGATTCAGGCACTCTTAACACACCTCACACCACAGGAAAATCTGATAAGATAATCTTTAGAACCACCAAGATAATCGGGACATTACCTAGGATTGTCGGAAGGGGAGAAATCGGCCCAAAATCAGCCCGATTATCTTGTGGTGTGTACCTAGCATAAGTCACAAGTCATGTAAGTCAAGTATTTACATCTGCAAGACGTATTTTTTAGAGTGTTTGCACATCTGCAATACGTCTATAGGATGTTTCCCTATTAGATGTCAAACAGACATTTATAAAATGTCTTTAAGGTGTTTATGATTTGGAATGTGCATAAATCTGACATCTTACAGACGTCTGTAAGATGCGTGTAAACAAAAGATGCTTTCCAGATGAATCGATCTTTAACGGACATCTTGCAGATGTACGTGTGCTATCTGGACCACAAATGTCTCACTTTCAGTGTTAGTCACTTAATGACAATTATGAAAATATTCCGTCACTCACCATAGGATTTAGTGACTGCCAGGCCAAATACACCGCTGCCATGAGGAGGGGCAAAGGCTGGCGGCCCGTCACTATCCAGGCATCAGCGGCTAGTTCAATCAAAGCAGACGCCCTGTCCACCAGCCGTTGGGGGGGTTCAGCAAACACCTCTATCTGTTGAGGACCCAGCTTGAAACTACAAAAAACACAGAAAGTTATCAATCTGACTTTTACATCAAATAAGACATTGTGCAAGTCATAAAAGTGTTAGACATAAAGGAGCCATTTTCTAATTTTTCTACTTTCAATATTAAATCAAAAAACGAATGATCAAATGATACACGGATTCATACTCATAGCAGAAGCTTTCCAGCATGTCCATGATGCCGATAGTGCTGATCTTAATGTTCAGAGCCTTTGTAAGCTCTCGATAAACGGCGCCCAATGTCGTATTTTCCACTCCCAACAGGTAACCAATGGTTCCCATGGCAACAGGCCAGTTGCACTGGCGACAGACGGAGAGTACGCAACAGCCTCCCAAGATCTCTTTCTTGGTTAAGGTCATGTAGATGAAGTTTGGGTGGTTGTAAGCGCGCCCAAAGAAACTTTGCAAGCAAGCACATAAACTTAAAACTTACACTAAAATTAAAAACAAATAAAAACAAACGGTAACTTAAAATATAATACTATAAAAATCACACAACAATAACACTGACATAGACTAGGATACCAGAAAGTTTTGTTTCCAAAAAAATCCACTTGCTGGACACGACAGCAAGCTTTCTCGTGATCTCGACATAACGAAAGTTTTCTTCTCGTTATCAGGCCTCTTAGGACTTCCGTAGAAAAGAAAAAAGAAATGTAAAAAAAAATTTGAATTAATGAACCTTACCAAAAAGAAGTATACTTCAAGTTTATTTTAAGTATACTTAAGTAAAGTTCAAGTATATTTTTAAGTATTCTTTATAAAGTAAGTATACAAATATCAGTGTACTTGTAGTATACTTGTAAGTGTACTATTTCAATACTCCTTGGGACTAAATTGGCCCCCTTTCTAGTATATAAAAGTATACTTTTAAGTATACTTTAAGTATAACAGTAGTAAACTTTGAGTACACAACAGTTTACATTTATGTTTTTAGTTTGTACTGCAACTATACTAAAAGTGAACATACTAAAAGTGAACAAAAGTGAAAAGTGAACATATAGGCATACTGATAGTTTACTAATTAAATATTTGTTTATTCTAGCTTCATGCATTCTTTTTTTTATAAACACATGAATGTGGGTAAGTTTCATAAATAAAAATAAAGAAATAAACAAACAATATTTTGAACAAAAAAAGATGAATGATAATGATAAACAAAACCATCTACGTTTTGTTTTATCATTATCATTCATCTTTTTTTGTTCAAAATATTGTTTATTTATTATTATTTAGTCAATCAACAGCCCAAAGCTTGACAGTCATTACCTCTTCATGGGTCGACATTTTATTCGTTTTGGAAATTTTGTACAGAAGATGTGTACTAGCGCCCCCTACAGTATAACAATGAAAACACGGATTCTAGGAGCACAATTATAGCTAAAATATATTTAGACTTTTTCTAAGTATAAGTCAAGTATACTTAAATGTCATTTTAAGTATATTTCTGAGAAGTACATAAAGCACATTTCTGAAAAGTACATAAAATGTAGACTGAAAGTATACTTTCTTATTTTTTAGTTTAAAAGAAGTATACTAATAGTACACTTGAATAAACTTATTTTTCGTAAGGGGATGCAAACTTTCAAATATGAGACACGTTCAAATTTCAGTTGTAAGCAATTATTATTATTTTGGAAATGTTAGTTGCATACAAGTTGCATAACCTAGTATCTACAAAAATAAGAGTTTAATAAAATAACTGAGATTACAATAAAACCGCTGGAAAACAAAAGCTGGTTGAATGGTTTTAGCTGGTCTTCTTCCATCCTGATCATAGCTGGTTTGCAGGCTGATTTTAGAAGGATTTGGACCACTTCTATAGCTGGTCAGGCTAGTAGACCAGCTCACCAAGCAGCTAAAACCAGCTGTCTAGCTTTACCCAACTTAGCCAACCAGCATGGTTTTAGCTTTTCTTCTTCTTCTTCTTCTCTCATCAGATTAAATGTGGTATTAGTGGAATCTAGCCAAAATAAATTAACATGGGATCTCACTTAAACAGTGTAAGAAGACACATTTTATTATAAATGATGACAGTGAAGGCTATAACCACCAAGTTATAAGAAATTATGGACACCATGGTCAATTTCAATGTTTTGAAATCCCACAGGGACTGCAGCATATAAACATTGTCAGGAGCCCTGTGAAGACAGCCTACATATTTGTTATGGGCCATTACAGCATCTGACATTCCCTCAATTGTTTTTTTTTTTTTAATTTTTTAAAATAATCATTTAAAGCTTAACCTGCATTCTTAAAAATGCACACAGACACAATCGTGTGACGCAGCCCTTTACAAAGCCACGCCTGTGACATTCTTTATTTCAAAAGCAGAGAATAATAAAGCTGTCAGCTTACATGACAAAAGGCATAAAGTACAAATGATCACATGTTCATTATTTACAGATGAACTGATTCTTTTAAAGTGCTTCATTGAAAAGAAAACAACGTATCAATGCAGAGATCGGTCTACAAAATATCATACAGCTTTGTAATTTATATAAAATATTTTTCAAGAATATATGTAGCGCCATTTTGTTTACTTATTAAACATATGGGTTGCATGATCCATTGAACGATTTGATAGATGATATTTATAATTTATATGATACTAATCAAAGAATATTAGCAATTCAAATGGAAAAGTGGACAGTAAAAACCTTTGGAGAAAATACTTAACATGATTTATTTTAACATGTACAAGAATAAACATGGAAGTCACATGGTTAGCTGGATCTGAAGCAAGCCAAATAACAAACAATCATTTCGTCACCATTCAGCCCGAGACGTCAAGTGTACTTCGGCTCACTAGTGTCTGCAGTTACAGCTATACTGGATTTAGTGAAAACCTCTGTGATTTACCCACAACCATGCACTGACGTTCACCCCATATTTGTGATTACAGAGCACACTAAATTCAAAACTCTGCTACAAAAGTGCTCAAACTGACTTCTTCATCAAGCTCAAGGACATTAAGATGTTGGGGCTCTCCTCCATGACACGGACCAGAAGACTGTCTATATAAAGCTCCAGTTCCCCAATCTTAGCATCCTTCTGAGAAAGCTGCTGCTTCTGCTTTTCCAACAAGTTAATGAGTTCTTCATGGGTTAGCTGGGAGTACGGTCCCGTCCCTTTAGCCTCTGGGGCCTGAAAGATACAGTTGAACACAAATAGCATGCTTAAAAGTCAGCTGAGAACATCTTAAACAACCATATTTCTATTCAACGCATGGTAACTGGCTACACAATAGTAGAACAGAAAAAAAACCCCGCTCATGCTACCTTCATCTTAACTTGCATGTCATCTGTAATTTTAGCAGATCTGGAAGCGTCATGGGTCTCTCGGAGGTCTGGCTGCTTGTCAGTGGTGCTCAGGGGTTTCACTGCATGGGGTCTGAAAAGAAAAAGAGAGCTATAAGTCTTACAGGCAGATCTGAGTTTGCAGGGGTGAAATACAAAGCAGTCAATCGCAGAACTCTGTCAGAAGACATTTGTGCATAATTTTGATATCATGCTTTGTAAAAAACGAGAAAGGATGACGAATACATACTGCCCTGAATTTTTGAACTTCAAAGAACATGGAGGAACTGCTAAATGTGAAAATTGATGCCTTTATTTTCAAAGACGAAAGTGTTCATATATGTGGTTTTCAATTATCGAATTTAGAATAAAAATAAAAAGTTCACACTGGGAAATTAAACATCCCAACCATATGATCTGAAAGTCTGAAAAGACAAAGTTTAAACCATTGCAAACCATGTTCTTCAGAAAGGCTAGTTATGTGGAATGTCACATGAAAGTCCCAACAATGAGTAATCTAGGGTCCAGAGTGTAATAACGTAAACAGATATGCACACCTTGCAGTCAAGCAATAAGTTACATGAACTGGTGATCACAAGTTGTGGCACAGAAACCATTGTAACTTATGCCTCCCTACCTTTTGGGAAATAATCATAAAACTTTGAGTTTTATGTTCCTTGCCTAAAGTGCAAAGAAAAAATGCAGTTGGCCAAAACAAATGAGAATTTTAAGACCAAGCAAAAGGTTCTGTGGGTAATCCATCTCATAAGCAGTAAGTAACAATTCAGGCAGGACAGGGGTGGCCAATCCTTTCTGCAGAGTTTACCTCCCAAGCCTAATTTAAAAAAACTAACTAGATAATTAAGGTGTCCAATTTTGCTAGAAACTTCCATGCCTGTGTTTCCCAATGTGTTTTAGCCTATAATGCTTTTAAGAAATGCTATGTTGGGGGCAAGTTGAAGCCATCGGCGCAGTTGTGGCCTAATGGATAGAGTCAGACTTGTAACCCGAAAGTCGCGGGTTCGAGTCTCAGGTCCGGCAGGGATTGTAGGTGGGGGGAGTGAATATCCAGCGCTCTCTCTCCACCCTCAATACCAACGACTGAGGTGAGACCCTCGAGCGAGGCACTGAACCCCCAACTGCTCCCCGGGTGCTGTAGCATTGGCTGCTCACTGCTCTGGGTGTGTGTTTGTTCACTACTCACAGCTGTGTGTGTGCACTTGGATGGGACACCATACTTGGCCACACGTCACGTCCAAACTCTGCAGGACAGTGGCCCTCCAGAGGCAGGATACCACTGAGGTTGTAAAAATGGGTGAATACTATGTCATGTAATTAATATTCATGAGTCAAGTCGGTGGGTTTAATAAAGTTTTCCTGCTTTTCAGATCATTCATAATTAAGGTGTCCAATTTTGCTAGAAACTTCCATGCCTGTGTTTCCCAAAAGCAGATGATTTTAGAAATCTATTTTAGCCTATAATGCTTTTAAGAAATGGTGTGTGACCACTGTCAAATGAGTGGAATAATTCAGAGTATTTTTATCAGGAACCTACAGCCAACATCTGCTACTTTGCTACTGCTACTAAGTGTACTCAACGGCGGATGAACGAGTTCGACATATTCGCAGTACTACCTAGTGGACTCTTCTGTCTCAACATTTCACCTTTTGTGTCCGAAGTAAACTTTGGGCTTTAGCATACTACAGAAACACTGAGAGACACTTCCATGCATTTATTATTTAAGCTGTGAACACAGGTCGTGGTTTTGCCTTTTAGCAGAACTGGTAAAAGGGGAGACGTTTGGAGAATAGATTCTGCAACAAAGATTATTTACAACTTTACAACCTTTAAAAATTTAAAGAAATACCACAGGATGGCTAACGGGAACCTACCGTAAACATCTGCTACTACTTCTAAGGGTCTCTAGAAGTTCTATGCGTGGCCTCACCTGCAGGGTTTGAAGGCAGGATCACCTGTTCTCTCGCTTTCACTCCCATTTTTCTGCCCAGCGACGGGCTGAACATCAATAGGTAACACTCTGGCTTGTGGGAGCGACCGGTGCTCTGACCCATGACCTGCTTCCAGTTTCAAAGGAGCGAGAGCTTGACTGGAGGTTGAAGAGGAGTTCACCAGGGATTGGGTAAAACATGAAGTTGACTTGCTACTATTAACAGTTAATGACTTGTCTTGATCTTGTATGCTGGGTTGACTGGTTGAGATCGGTGCAGCTTCTGGTTGCTGGCTGGATGCTGATTTGGCAGGAGGCAACGGGGCCCGACTCTTCTTTTTGGAAACGCCACTCTCAAGCAGGACATTTTCAGCATTCTCGGGATCATTCACATTATAGAAAACCTTTCCAAGGACTGGATCAGACATTGAAGGTATGTCTTCTCCAAGAGAGTCTAGTTTAGACTTTTCTGGTAAAACCTTGTGTTTACTTTCTCTTGAGAAAAGGTCTTCAGAGTGCTCGGGTTTGGTAGAAGGCTCTTCATCTGCAGGAAGATCATCAAGCTTGTCAGTCGACTCATCTATTTGATCAATGCAAGAGTTTGAGGCAGCACTGGTTTCATGTTCAGTTAAATGGACATTACTAATTGCTTGCTTGCTTGTTTCAGATTCCGATGCAGATGTCTTGCAAGATTTTGACTGTAATGAAGGCTTTGGTGCTGGACCCTTGTTGTGTTTAGTTGTTTTGACCTCGGTAGATATAAAAGGGTTGGTTTCTTGTCTGTTACTGGGATGACCCTGGATAAGACGCGATAAACTGGTGTTCCCAAAATTGGCTGCATCAGAGGTCCTTGACTCATCTTGCAAAACCGGGCACACTTTGTTAGTCTGGTCTATTTCCTGGAATCTAGTAGTTCTCCATTCACCGGTATGAAGAGGAGTGGTAGTTTGGTCTGCATGCGTGTTTTGCACTTCTTGCTTGTTCTTTGGTGGTAAAGGGGCGGGACGTTTGTCCCTTTGTAAACTGCAGGAATCAGAGTCTCCATCATCTTCAGATGCTCTAGATGGAAAAGCTTGTGTGGCTTTAGGAATCGCTGGTGCTTTTGGAGGGACATCTGGTTTTCCCTTCTGCGTCTTGTTCTGGGGAGGCATTGGGGCACGTCGTTTCTTCTCTGACCTTTCTGCGGCGTCTCCGAGATGGACAACTTTCTCAGTGTTTCCGCCATGAACATCGGAGTCATCTAAGAATGGGTTGGTGTTTGGCACAGATGCTTGTGAAAAGAAGATTCCAGAAACAGAAGAACTGAAGAAGCAGGATAATGAAAGGGAACATTAAACTTGATCAAACACATCTGCTAAATATCGAAATACACTGGCAAAATAGTTAAAGCCACTTTGCTCTGTTCAACAACCAAACCACTGAAGGGGGACTTTTAAGTCTTTAAAACTGACCCTATTTACTTTCATGTTATTAAACAAATGTTATCAACATCCATAAACTTTTTAAAGGGATAGTTAACATCAAAATTACTCATCCTCATGTCATTCCAAACTTTTTTGGAATAAGTTTATGGACATTTATTACATTTGAGCAATAAAGATTTCTGAGAGAAACTCGCACAAAACTTCCTTACTTTAACTGCAGCCTTGAAGAGATAGCTGGTTTAGATTTAAAGAGCCACCCTCAAATCATGCTATTTGCTCTGCAGTCTCCTACACATTCCAGAACGGTTTCATGAAGCACTCAAGTGCATGAGTCAGAGAAAAGGAACTGCCTGATCAGCTGTTTTCCAGGGAAACAGATTTCTCCAGCTTCCCCTCGGTTAGACCTCAATCAAGTACCACACGAGAGCGAACACAATGAGGGTTAGAGACCTTAAAAATAACTGTCAGCATTAATGCATCTCAGTAGAAATAAACAGATAAGACCATGGTAAGAAAGACTCTTTATTCAGGTTTGGGTATTTCATTTGGTTAAGGGTTACTCATTTTATTCGGTATGATAATCATCTTCAGAAAATATGATGAGAAAAACAAAAGTTAATGTGCATTGCCCTTACTTTGAGTCCTTGAAATGGTTTCAAAAGAACTGCGTTGCAAGCCAGATGTTTTTTTTGGACTTGTATAGACACGCACTCATACCAACACACACACACACACACACACACACACACACACAGACTACTGCATATTTAGTAATAGTGCCATATGCTCTTACATGACGGCGTTAATCACGATAGCGTGGTGTTATGGGCCCTACCACACTGAAATCAAGTTAGTCTAAGCATACTACAGAAACACCGAGAGACACTTCCATGCCTTTAATATTCAAGCTGTGATCATGGGTCATGCATTTGCCTTCCAGCAGAATTGGTAAAAAAGCAGACGTTTGGAGAATGATTTGAAACAGCTCTGTGAAACGATAAAAGTATGAGTTCTGAAGAACGTTGAGAGTTCTTAGAGTTGTTAGAGTCAGTCAAAACACAAACTTCATCAAAAAGGAGTGCTTCCTTTTGGCTGATTAGTAAACAGAAGCTAAATGCATTCAACTGACTGGTCACGGTTGCTTTTTTACATTATTAATAGAACTTTTCTTGAAAAGTGTCCCCGCCCACAGTGACATTCCATTGGTCCAAAATGTGCCCCTCATAGATGTATATTACACATCAAAGATGTTCTGAGTGGCTGATTTTAACACCTCACACAGTATTTTGCTTTCATTGAGAACAGATAAATTATTAAGTTGCAATGTTGTGTTTTTGGGCCTAATTCATCATGTAACACATACCGATTTTTATTCTTAGGCAAAAGCTGGTTTCACTAACAATTTACATAAAAATTTGTTATAAATAAGGTCAAATGGATGTAATTTAAAAACAAACTTCCGTGCTTTCAGGTAAGACACTGACCTTGGCTTGACTGCAGAGACTTTGGTGGACCGACTGAGGGCTTCAGGTTGAGAAACGGTGGGCTGCTCGAAGGGATTGGTGGAGCTCTCGTCGAATAAGAGGGGGTCTTCAAAGGGATTGGTGAATAGGATGTTGTCCGAGTTAATCTCGTCAGATGCTTTTTTACTCGTATTCAGTCGAGCACTCCTGGGTTTCACCTCGGGCCGCTGTTCTTTCTCTTTCTTCTGTCTTTCCATTTCTTCTTTCTCTTGCCTGATTCTCTCCTGGTCCGCTTTCTCTTTCAGCTTCCTCTTCTCATCCTCTTCCTCAGCCTTTCTTCTCGCCTGCTCCTCTCTCATCCTTTCTTCTATTCTCTTGTTCGCAAGCTCCAACTTCTCTTTTTCCTGTCGCACCCTTTCTTGTTCTTTTCTTTCCATCTCCTCAGACAGTCTTCTCTCTTCTTCCTCTTTCCTTTTCCTCTTCTCCTCTGCTTCCATCTTTTCTTTTTCCTTCAGTAGTCTCTCCTCTTCTTCAGCACGTCTTCTGTCCATCTCCAACTTTCTTGTCTCTTCTTCTTTCTGCAACTTTTCATTCTCAAGTCTCGTTCTCTCCTCTTCCTCAATTCTCCTCCGTTTATCTTCTTCCTTCCTAGCCTTTTCCTCTTCCTCCATTCTCTTCCTTTTCTCCTCTTTGGTCCTCTCCTCCTCAGCTTTCCTTCTTTCCTCTTCCTGTCTAACTCGTTCCTGTTCCTTCTTTATTCTGATCATTTCCTCCTGTTTAATCCTTTTTCTTTCTCTTTCCTCTTCCTCATTTTTTCTTCTTTCTTCTTCCTGTTTCTCAAGCTTCCTTTTCTCTTCCTCTCTCTCCATCCAATTCCTTTCCTCTTCTATCTCTATCCTCTTTCTTTCCTCCTCCCTCTCAAGCAGTTTCCTCTCCTCTTCTCTCTCCATCCTTTTTCTTTCCTCCTCTCTTTCAGTCCGTTTTCGTTCTTCTTCCTTCTCTATCCTCTTTCTTTCTCCCTCTCTCTCAATCCTTTTCCGCTCCTCTTCCAGTTTCTGTAGCTTTCTCTTCTCTTCCTCTCTTTCCAAGCGTTTCCTCTCCTCTTCCTGTTCTCTCTCAATCTGTTTCCTCTCCTCCTCTTCAGCCTGTCTTCTTTCCTCCTCTAGTCTTTTCCTGACTTCCTCTTCATGTTTCCTCTGTTCCTCTTGTCTTCTGCGCATCTCTTCCACTGCATTGTCTTGAGTTTGGTCTGAGGAATCCATTGAGGTGCTGGAGGTTTTCCTGTCATGACCTCTGCGCAGGTCCTCCATGGATCCGTGGCCGGAGCTGTTCAGGCTGAAGGTGGAACCGGCCCTGGATCCTCTGGTCTCTGGCTCTTCTGTGTAGACGTGACTGCCGTTGATGCACATGTTGCTCTGCACCATGCCCGGTCCAAGAGACCCAGTACCCTGGGAAACCTTGCTGTCAGAGCTTCCGGTCCGCTTGTGCTTCAGAAATTTGAACTTCTTTTTGCCTTTGAAGAAAAAAAAAAAAAAAAGGAAAATCACAATAATATTATGCGCTATTGAAATTTTGCATCCATTTATCAATTTTAGAAGACCCTAACTTCTGCTAATTATGTTTTTTAGTTATGTTTTAATTTTGTAGGGGTGGACAATATATCGGTACTACAGCAATTATCTGTATTTATTATACTGGAGATTTGAGTCATTTTTTGGTAATTTATCAGTCAATTTATAATGCTCATTTTCCATATTTTTACATTTAGACTACCTTCGTCATCATCTAACACTAACTTAACATCCGTGTTTAGTATCAAGATATTATATATATATATATTTTTTTTTATTTTTTTTTTGTAATTTTGTAATGTAGTAATTGTGTTTTGCTAAACAATTCTTTGTAATTCTTCTTAGTTTAAGTATGTAGTTTTTATTTATTTTTTATTTCAGTTTAATTATTTCAGTCAAGTTAAACTAACTGAAAACTAGCTTTATATATATATAATATATATATTTAATATTTAATTTCAGTTAAAGTTCATTTATTTATTTTATCTGGTTTTACTTTACTGTAATAATTTGCTGTTTACGGTTTTATTTAGATTTAGATTTACTATTTATAATCTCTAATATCATGGGCAAAATTTTACTGTTTTAATTTTTAAATAAATAAATATGTGAATAAATAAATATGATTTCAACCTTAGCCAAATCAGACTAAACCAGTATAATTAATATCAGAATATATCAGTATTTACATTGCATTTGGCAGATGCAAGGGACTTGCATATATTTATTAGTTTATGATTTCCCTGGTAATCAAACCTAGGACATTGGTGTTGCTAGCACCTGCAGGAACAATATGGTAGCGGACATATCATCCATCCCTAATATTGAAAATATTACAACAACAAATAGTGTCGCATGTACCTTCAGGAGACTCTATATTTAGGCCAGACGATCTGCTCAGACTGATGGGCGAGTCTTTTTCAGGCAGGGTGGCGAGTGTGGACATGGACTGGGAAATGTTACGGTGCAAACTCGGCTTGGGTGCGAAGAGGGACTTGAGTTTATTCTTCTTTTTGGCTCCGGGTGTGACGTCAGGTTCTTCTTCTCCCTCACTGTCAGTCAGTACCTGGCAGACTGAAGGCACAATGGCGGAAGCAGAATCCGACATCCCATTTTTCTTTTTCCCTTTCAGCTTATCCTTGATCTTGCCAAGTCGTGAGCGTGACTTGTCCTGCCCAGAGAGGTCGTACATGCTGGCCGTCATGTTGTTCTTCATGAACTGAACGTCTAGGAGCACCTCACCCCTGTCTTTATCAGCCTTCCCCGTCTTGCCCATCAATTTGAACCATCTGTATGAACACAAATAGCACAGGAGGTTTCATTTCAAGCATTTTTTTTCATTTCCCAAAGCACCTCCCTTATCAAAGAAAAGAAAGCTAGAAGCAAGACATGAGATGGAAGACATGAGATGTTGTGTCACTTAGCTACACTTTACAAAATTGCTCAGAACTGCAAAAATTACAAGATTGTTGTGCAGTCAAAGCTATGGGATCACAAAATCCGAGTAAATAGTTTCACGTGATTGTTGACATTCCTCAACGACTATAAACCAGAACAGCACATTAAAGGGTTAGTTCACCCAAAAATGAAAATTAGGCTGCGTTTTACTCACCCCCGAGGCATCCTAGGTGTATATGACTTTCTTCTTTCAGACGAATCCAGTCGGAGTTCTATTAAAAATTGTCTTTGATCTTTCAAGCTGTTTCATGGCACTCAAAGGGTGTTGCATTCCTTCAGTCCAAAAGATGTGAAATAAAAAGCGCCCTTCCATTAAAAAAAAAGTGTCTCACACGGCTCCGGGGGGTGAACAAAGGCCTTCTGTAGCGAATCGATGCGTTTTTAAACCAAAAGTGAAGGCTGCGTTTGTCTCACCCCCGAGGCATCCTAGGTGTATATGACTTTCTTCTTTCAGACGAATCCAGTCGGAGTTCTATTAAAAATTGTCTTTGATCTTTCAAGCTGTTTCATGGCACTCAAAGGGTGTTGCATTCCTTCAGTCCAAAAGATGTGAAATAAAAAGCGCCCTTCCATTAAAAAAAAAGTGTCTCACACGGCTCCGGGGGATGAACAAAGGCCTTCTGTAGCGAATCGATGCGTTTTTGTAAGAAAAATATCCATATTCAAAACGTAGTAATCACTTTAATCTAGCTTGTGCTCACTGTTGTAAACTAAGCAGTTCTGGGCGGATGGCGTATGAGGTCAGCGTTGCGCATGCGCCGGTGAGTCTCGTGAAAACCAACATTTGTTTACAGGATCAAAGGAAGCAAAGTTTCCTTACTTTAGCAAAGGAAAACCAGTCTCCTCTCGGCTTATATCGAAATCCTCCGATTTTGGACTGAAGCAATGCAACACCCGCTGAGTGAAATGATAGAGCTTGAAACATCAAATATAACTCTGGATAACTGGATTTGTCTGAAAGAAGAAAGTCATTTACACCTAGGATGCCTCGGGGGTGAGTAAAACGCTGCCTAATTTTCATTTTTGGGTGAACTAACCCTTTAAGGTTCAATGAGACACTGTGTTGTCATAACTCAAGGACACTAGTGGATAACAAAGACTTCAGGGTCTAAAACAAACACCTACTGTGTAGAAAGTCTCAAATTAATGTGTTTTTAGAAATTAAAAAACATAATTTTCCCTTCAGACATCAATAAAATAGGTCTATCAATCTAAAAAGTCCAAAATACAACTTACAGCCTTGAGCAAGCTGTTTCTTAGCTACAAAGAGAGATGTATCATGTTGTTTTCCAGGCTAAATGTTGTAGGAAATGAATGTCTAGGCTGGCGAGCTAACATGCCTGTAAGGAACAACAAACTTAGATCCATGAAAAACAGAGAGGAATAAGATGAGGACACAAGGGTGCGGTAACTGCACGCAGGACTCGTTTCATGGAAACTTATGTTTGCAGTATAGCGTATGGCTGCGAGAATGGAGTGGGTGGCTTAGAAAAGCAATTTTGAGAATGCCACAAAACTGACACTCAGGGTAGAAAACACACACACTGGCAGAATAGGGTCGGGAAAAAAATGGAAATTCACTAAAACCTTAGAAAAGTCAACAGGGAACTGGTGAAGCTTGACATCTCCGAACTTCTCAATACAGTAACCATTAACCATCTTGTTTCTCAACCAGCCTCTTTAACAGCAGCTGCTACTTTAGTGTTTATGACGACAGTAAGTGCACTGGACACAGTGAGTAATGCAATTCTAACGCTACGGAGAAAATCACATGATGGCCGTGTGTTGAAATGACTTTGTGGCTATCTGCTAAATAATACTGCGATGAGTCTGAAGCTAAATATAGCAACACACTCTGGGATTATTAGCGAATGATCACTGCCGCCCGCCTATGCCTCAATAACATTAAGCACCATTATGCAGCACATATTTACGTCAGAGAATAACAAACTAGCTAGTTGGGATAAACAGTACAATTAAAAGCAACTAATTTCTGTCTGTAATATTTATTTATTTTCTCTGAAATGGCTTAAAAAGCTTTTTTTTCCCCTCATAATCACAATATAGACCGTTAATGTTGCCAAACAAAGGTGAAGCAAGAATAAAAAAGACCTACAGTAGTACATCCATCAAGTCTGCTTTGCATTAAATGAACATAAAAAAACTAGTGGCTAATGGTTTATTTGCACCAACATAAATTCACCTATATATTAACTAAATGACTTTAACGCATGTAAAACATTTTGTATTGCCAACAATATAGGCCTATTTAATATTCTGTAAATATTTCATCACCAGACTTTTAATATGTCGCATGACCACATTTCTGAATCACAGCATAGTTTTTAACAATTACATGCAAACAATCTACAATTTGACATGGTAGAGGTTTTTACTGACCAATAAACTACAAGTATGAATAACTGCAATCAGTGTGTAAAACAGGAATTTTAGGGCGTAAAATAGAAGTGGTTAAAGGGCTGGTAACCAGAAAGTTGCTGAATCAAATCCTGGAAGGAGTGAACCTTAAGCGATCACAATTATGGCCTTAAACAATAAAAGCTGTTAAACCACATTTCCTTAATGCTAATTACACAATGACAAGAGAAATGGCTTTGCACATATGGGAGGTGCTCATTTGACACGACATGTTCGGACGACACCTCGCAGCCATAGAAATGCACTGATGCAAACACAAGCAGCTTCTGCTGTGATGTCACTCAGATGACTGCGAACTGCACAGAAGTTGCATTAAAGTTCTGGTCACAGGAGGGAAGTTGCAAAAGGGTGTTGCCTGCTTTGAGATGAGCTCAGACCTTTTAGACAAGCTTGAAAAGCTATGAACAAAATATTAACCTAACATAAAAATCTGCTATTTTTTTTTTAATTAGAAGTCTACATCCCCCCATAAAATGATTTTTGGTCTGTAGTACAACTTGACCTTCTCGATTACTTCAAATCATGCAATCATTCATCATTTTAACAATATACGGAACTGATATTTACATTTGATGTTACAGCATGATGAAATTCACTTAAAATGTAGATATACTGTTTGATATGCTGCTATAGTTTTTGATAATTTTGTTAATTTTTATAACTTTTTATTTTTTGATTTTCAGTTTTCATTTTAGTAAATGTTTGTTATTTTATGTGTTTTGTCATTTAATTTTTTATTTTTTTGTACGTAAACTAAACAAACACGTGAAATGCTGCCCTGGCAATTAGTTGCAATAAAATAAGTTTAAGTTTTTATAATGTTCATTTATTTCAGTTAATGTTCATGAAAATGAAAATGTTTTTTTTTATGGTTTTAGTTTTAATTTTCCTTAAAGATAATAACCCTGCTAGAAACTGAAAGAAGTGACACATTATGGACTGTTTCTACATCATGGACGAAACGTAATTGATTGTTTATATGACTGACAGTTCAAGCTTTCTGCTTAAATGCCTCTATTCATTGACCATTTGTTGAAGGAGGGGAAATGACTTTCAGGGCCTATTTTGGGAAAGTGTTTGGTAAGATAATAAAAGACTTTAATAAGCAAAGTTCTTGACAAACTCATCTGTCTCGCCCTGAAAGATCCTCAATAAACAGCTGTGCCCTGACAGGAAGTGAAGGCAGCATCAGATGAATCAGCACTGGATGTTTCATTGTTCCAGTGTGTCTCTCAGCTGCTTGACTTCCTGCATGTGCCAGCGCACTGATAAGTGCGTTATGTGACAGGACTGTTTTATCACATGCAGCAGCGCAGGAACCTTGCCTAAGCTCAACTATATAGAGTTTCACTTGTTGTAACACATTCAAATAACTATGCATGAAGCTCAGATAATTGGACATGTGTGACATAACATGGGTTTTTGTTGAGGTTTCCAACTGGCAAAATATTTGTTTTGATAATATAATGGATTCAATATCCAAGTTTTCATAATCTTGAATTATTTCTGCTGAGGTAAAAGACATTGAATTTAACACTATTTCTCCTTGTAATATTACAGGCTTTGTATTAAGAAAAGTGTCTGCAAACAAAAAACGAAACTTTGTTAGGTGACAGTCGGAGCAGACAGGTGACGTGCTCCCATTCTGCCTCGAATCAGGAAAGAGTTACTGTGTATAAAGTGTCAGCGCATGAGGTCACGACTCATGCAGAAAGAAACGGCTGATGCCTTCTGTATTAGCATGAGGCATTTAGCATATTTTAGGCATATCCTCTATATGTGTGACTGAGAGAGAAAACCAAGTGTTTTCTTGACTTTGAAGTCTGAAGCAGTTGACAAGCCTTGACTTTATGCCACGCTAAGAGAAAATTAGTTATCAGGCAGCGCGTGTGACGTATGTCAAAGCCTGAGAGAGAACTGGGGCACAAACAGAACAATCAGATGCCAGAAAAGGGATGTTAGATATTTAACCTTCTCTAAAATACTGTTTCATTTAAATGGCTGCGCAATATAACAGAGGAAATTTGAGTGTGAGAACAAATGTGCACAAAGGGGTGTGAATTACATGACAAAATTGAATTTTCAGATTCTGAGGGTTGTTAAAATGCACAAGAAAAGATTGATTCAAAAGATTGAGATCTTTAAGGTTTTTTATGTCTTTGAAAGGAGTGTCTTATGTTCAACAAGGCTGCATTTATTTGATCAAAAATACAGTAAAAACAGCAATATTTTGAAATACTATTACAATTTATAATAACTGTATTCTATTTAAATATATTTTAAAATGTAATTTATTCCTGTGATTGAAAAGCTGAATTTTCAGCATCATTACTCCAGTCTTCAGTGTCACATGGTCCTTCAGAAATGATTATAATATGCTGATTTACTGCTCAATAAATATTTATTATTACCAGTGTTGAAAACTGCTGTGCTTAGCAATATTTCCATTATATATTTTTTCAGGATTCTTTGATGAATAAAGAACAGCATTCTTTCAAAATAGATTTTTTTTCCCATGTTTTTGCTGTCATTTTTGATTAATTTAATGTACTTTCGCTTAATAAAATTATAAATTTTAAAAAATGTCTAAACATTTCTAAAAATAAATAAATCTCACTGTGACCCTGAACTTTTGAACAGTAAGTAACAGTGTAACACTAAGTGTTATTAATTACAAGTTTTATAAGTAATACTCTTTCTTTTTAAATAAATTATGATTTTAATAGGTTATGATAAAAGAAAAACCAGTAACTAGTTCTGGGAACAGCAGATTAGAAAATACTGATATGAAGATCAGTGAAATTGACAACAATGAGAAGAATAGGAAGTAATTAAAGTCTTCTGATTCATGCAGGCAGAAAAAAATTATCAACTTCATGGAAATTAAATCAATATTCTGGGTTCAACAGAAGCTGTGCTTAATCGATGTTTCCACAAAAAAATAAAATAAAATAATTTCTTATTTCTTAAAAAACAACGACACTAATACAGGTTACACTTACAATAAAAGTGAATGGTGGCAACCTAAATTTACATTTTTGCTATTAAATTCTCCAAATATTGGCCCATTCACTTGTACTGTAAGAGCCTCATCATAAGCTTGATTTGTTTTTGTTTTGTTTTTAATTAAAGAAAAAGGACGTTGAAAGTGGAACCTCAACTTGCACTGAACCCAGAATATTCAAATGATCAAGCTGTTCCTAACACAAAAAGAGTGACATCAAAATAAAGCGATGTTTCCCAGCGATAACGCCCTGTTGATGTCAACCACAAGACTGTCAATCGTATACACACACCCTGAGAGATCAAACTTCAAAATCACCATCAGAACTGCAGATCGGTTTACAAGAAACGCAGAGGTCCAGTTTCATCTGCGAGTCGGCTTACTTGACTCGACCTGAGTGAGTTTCCGGTTCCTCTGACCTGGGGCAACAGCAGCCCACGTGGGTACACAACAAGATATGACATAATAAGCTCTAACACTTGATAACAGGAAATGTCTCAGTCAAACCCAAAAAAGACTCAGGAGCTGAGCTCTCTAGTGGCCTAGTTATTTAAAAAACAGCTTTCATTCCGACTCAAACATCAGCTGAATTTATAGAGCAAAACAATTATTCGGCAGAAGGCCAGACGAGCGCTGGCTGCCTTTGTTCATGATATTGAATTAGGACTCGTAATGAAAATGGCCAGGCAGGTTCTAATCAAAGGCTTTGAGCATTTACAAGAAAACAATGGAAGTCATTCAGAGAACAGGTGAAGAAACACAAGCTATTTAAACCAACCTCCTCAAATTCAAGGTCAGAATGCTTTGATGGATTTGTGTGCTGCTCTGTAAATGTCAGTCCGAAACTTTGCTTGTCATGACTGATGTTACAATGATGTCTAGAGCTAAACTAATTTATTCATGAAGTCTGTGCATAATGTATGCCGAGTGGCCTTGGATTAGAGAGAGATGGAATAACCACCAGATCCAGTCAAACAGATTTGCACTGACCTTTAACAAACATTCCAAAGAAATGCTAATGGAATTTCATTAAATTATGATAGAGGAAAAGAGGAATTGTCTCCACATTCTATTAGATTCCATTTAGGAATCTGATTCTGATCCTTAAGAAACCGTCTTCTGTTAGCATAAAAAGACTGGATTCTGAGTCATCTGTGGAGGTCTGTGACGGCTCTGGTTGAGGGGAAAAAATCCCACCCTGTTCCTTTCGGTCTACTGTGACCAAGTCCAAGAACATTCAAAGCTCAGCTCATAATTTCCACATAAGGAAGCTTTGATGCCATCTTTCAGCACAAAAGCTTTATTTATTTATTTATTCATATATATAATATATATATATATGTTTATTGTTTACACATATTTATTGTTTATATAAAATAGTATGTTCACTCACTCAGTTTTATTACGGGATTTATTGTCTTGGAGTTCCAGGAGGTTGATGGTCGCCTGTCCGAGCATTTTATCGGGTCCCACCAGCGCCCGGTGCATCACACACACCTGAAGTGTGCAGCGCTCCGCGTTACTGGGGTGAAAGAGCGGCAGGTCGAACGCGGCCTCCTCTTTCCACACCGGCGCGACGCTCTTCTCCGCCACCGAGGTGGAAAACTTTTCCTTGGCCACCTGCATGATGGCGTACGCGTCGTTGGTGCCATTCTTCCCCTTGCTCCGCAAACCCCTCGCCTGGAGCACCGTTACCTGGACGCTAGTGGGAAACCACTGCTGGCTTTGCTCTGCCAGAGACATTTCTGTGAAAACCCAACTCGTTTCAGTTGGGACTGAAAAGTCAGCAGGACGCGCGAGCTGTCCTGCCCAGCGAGAAGTTTCAATGTGTCAAAGGTCCGTTAATGTTTCGCTGGAAAAGTTAATCCAGTGAAGCAACAAGTGAGAGCGTCACTCTAAAGTCACGCCCACACTCCTGAGCAACGGCGTGTGGGCGTGGCCTGGCGTGACGCAACGTAGATTGCGCAACGCAATCTTTGCATAACAAATGCTGTAAAAATTCTGTTTTTCCTGTATTTGCTTTATAATGACTATAATAATAATAATTCTATGATGTTCCTTTCAGTTATGACAATTTAACAGAGGTGTGTAATTAAAATGCCCCATGACTAAATTTAGACATTAGAGAACTGTAGAGCTCTGACACAAAGCTACAATTATACTGAACTGTCATGCTGGCAGTGACCAGTTCTCATTGTTCACAAAAAAAGGGAACACACAGTTGTCATTTTATTGCTTTTTGAGTTTAAACTAAAAAGAAAGACTGTAATGGCATTTCTGCAAGTAAAACATTCCTCACTCTCGTATAGTAAACCGAAGAAATAAGCATTTACAGCTAAAATTAAAGTCATTTGATGAATTTTGCAACATTAACACTGTTATTTCACTGTTTATTACTGTGAAGCTGCTTTGAATCTGTATTGTATAATGTGCTATATAAATTTAGCTTGTTTCATAATTCATACTTGTACATTAATCTGTTGTTTTCCACAGTTAGGTAAACAAACCACCAAGTCACCATCATTCATTACTAATGAATCTCCATTGTCATTTAGGGTTTTAATAATAAACATTACGTGAACAAACAGCACGTTCCTTCGTGAGGATAATGCGTGTTTGTATTGTTCCTGAAACCAGTCATTCAGGGCCTTCATAGTTCTGCATGGGGAGTGGAAGTCAACAGGGCACGTCCCTCGAACAACTCTCTTTTACTGTATTCCCTTACATAATACAATTAGGTCAGACTGCAGGCTACTGAGGTGAATTGCTATTCATGTAATGCCACACTCTTTTTTCGATGTTATAGCATTAACATGAATTCTGATGATGTCATCTCTTTCACAGTGATGCCAGACATTTATTGAAAGCATAAGTTCATCGTTCAGCCACAGCTCAAAGTCACACACTGCAGGCATTCAATTATTGTAATGCAATAGTGAAACAATAGTGAAATAGAATAGAAAATAGTGCCCTCTACAGAGGACTAAGAACATGTGCAATAAAGAAATAATTTAGCTAAATATCTAAATTCTGTCATCATTTACTCATCCTCATGTCTTTCCAACCCTGTATGACTTTCTTCTGCAGAAGATATTTTAAAGAATGTTCGTAACCAAACATTTTCAGCTCCCACTGACTTCCATAGTATGGACAAAAAATACAATGGAAGTCAATGGGGACCAAAACTGCTTAGTAACCAAGATTCTTCAAAATATCTTCATAGGTGTTAAGACAGGAGGTTGAGTAAATGGTGACTCAATTTTCATTTTGGGGTGAACTATCCCTTAATGCATGATTTGTATTGAATACGACTTAAATTTCAATGTGTTCCTCACACAAAGCTATTGTACGGCTTCAGAACATTTCAGGACTGTTTGTGATGTTTACATGGTGCTTCTTTGTCCTTTTTGGAGCTTGATAATCCTGGTCACCATCCACTTTCATTGATTAGAGAGATCATTTCTCCTTTTGTGTTGCATAGAATAAAATAAGACAGAATTTTTAGGTGAATTATATGTTTGCCACTATTACAAACATTTTGGAACAGCATCATTAAAAATTATGGGCATGGTCTATGAAATACTCCTACTGAAAACCAGTATTATTACTATACAAACAAACATTTTTGTTACCAGAAATAAAATGAACATAACCTAAAAATTAAATAAGTAAATATTCCAGCAAGTTGGCAAGTCAAATGTCTCATTTTAATTTAAAGTAAAACTGATATTTAATTTAAAAAAGGCATACTTAAAAAGAAAACAATTACTAAAATGACAAAAACGTATGATACAATTAATAAAACTAATATAAAAATAAAAACTGATTCAAAATATTAATAAGAACTATAACAGCTCAATGATAGTAAAATAAAACAGCTGAAAACATATTAAAACATTAATTTCAAGTGTTCCTCACCAGTGTTTTTAGGGAGAGAGGGGTGAGTGAAGGCCATTGGCTGTCTGGCATCTCTGCTGAGCGTGTTTCCCACAGTACAGCTCCTCATCCACACAGAAATGTCCTCGCTCCATGAGACTAAAGCCACAGTCCCTGCAGGTATAACACTCCACGTGTCTGTAGCGTCTCTCTCTGATCTTCACCACCTGAGTTCTGCAGCAGGACACACAGACAACCGAGCTGAACATGCCTGTGATCTTCATGCATTCCTGACATGAACTGCCCTCAAAAATATTTGAATACTTAAAACACACTTAGACAAAATATCAGAACACTATCACTTTTCTTTCTTGAGACAATACGTAATATATAATATGAGCTTAATCGAAGGGTTCTTACACAATGATGTAACCACATCTCTCACAAGTGCGAAACCTTTGACTCCGCTGGACCGCTCCAGATGGCAGTGATGTTCCTGTACAATTCATGTGTGTTTTTATTACATGAGGCATCCTTATGCTTATTATTCAAGAGGTTTGAATGCAAGAAATGCAGTGAAATGAACACACTCACGTTCTAGTCCCTCCTGTAGTATTCTGAAAGTGTTGGACTGTCTGGGCTGCTGAGGTTGAACTTGCCTTCGCTTGATTCTCATCAGCTCTTCAGGATCAACTGGCCCATAGCTCCATACTGGATAGTTAAAACTCACCCTGAGAAAAGAGCCAAACAGCAATGTGAGTTCAACAGGTATGGGACAAAATGACATGGGCTATGCTTGGAAGAAATTAATCATTTTATTTAACAAAGATGCATTAAACCGATTAACGTTTATAATGTTACAAAACATTCCTATTTCAAATAAATTATGTTCTTTGCAACCTGAAAAAATTTATCAAGATTTCCACAAAAATATTAATATTAAATGTGAATATAAAACTCGCAGAAACAAATAGAGAAAATATTAAATATTAAAGGGGCCATATGATGCGATTTCAAGTTTTCCTTTCTCTTTGGAGTGTTACAAGCTGTGTATAAGTCATTATAATCCGTAATTATGTCCCCACTGGATGCAACAAATGCCTGTTTATAATGGTTTTTAATGTTTTTGTCTCGTCGCTCTGGCCTGACAGGGCATCATCACAGTATGGTAGGGGCGTAACATTGTCACACGCTTGAGGTATTCAGCCAATCACAACGCACTGGATAGCTGGCCAATCAGAGCGCACCTCGCTTTTCAGACCGATGAGCTTTGTAAAAATCGACGCGTTTCAGAAAGGCGGGGCATAGAGGAGAAACAATAATGTACAGTATGTGGAAAATAATAGTATGTGAACACACTATATATATGCATATTTTTAAAATTGTATGCATACAATGTGAAGTATGCAATAAGTAGTAGATTAGTATTCCAAACATAATATTGGTATTACTTTTTCTTGGTAGTCTGCGATTCATATGACACTGTTTGGATATAATCAGATGCAGAGTTATGTCCTGCGGTGGACTCCTGCAACCAATAAACAGGGTTAAAAAATGATTTCATGGAAATAAAAATAAACATTAACTGAAATAAAATAACTTTTTTAGCTAGTTTCCAAGGCAACATTTCTCACTAAATAAGCTCAAACTAAAAAGTAACACTTTAAAAATATATTCAAATGAAATGAAAATGAAACGAGAAAATGGAAAAAATTATATCTCATTAAAAAAACTTTAATATATAGTCGATACTTAAAACTATAATAAAAACTATAATATATAGTTGATACTTAAAACTATAATAAAAACTATAATATATAGTTGATACTTAAAACTATAATAAAAACTATAATATATAGTTGATACATTGATACTTAAATAACACTGCCAATAAAACCAGGGATAAAATATTATTTCTTCAGATTAGGCTTGTTTTTGTTTTTTTTACTGGACCACAAGATGGCAGCAGAGACTTCAAAAGACTTGAACATTAGGTTTTGTCCATTTTATGCTATTAAACCAAATGTACAAACCTGAATTCAAGCCAAACATTACTAAAATGTACAATTAGTACTCGCATGCTCCCACCTTATCGTGTTGCTTCAGCTGCTCTGGACCATAGTTTCTCTCCTGTGGGGCTCTGAACACATGAACAATGAGAAACACGTGATGTTGTTTGAAGACATCTCAGTATGGTTCTGGTGCACTGACCTCTTGGACTGGCCCTGTCCTGACTCATGGGTTTGTTTTGGCCGGACTGAGGGCTCCTGGGTTGAAGGAGAACAGCAGGAAGTTTCAATACACAAAACAGGATCGTTCTCACTAGTTTGATCCAAACAAGCTGAATGGGCCTTCCCTGTAGCAACATTTAACATTAACGTTATGTTCACAAAGAGCTGGTCAGTTAACTGTGTGAATAACTAACCGAATGAACAGGAAGTCTTGGATCACCGCAGCACTGTATGACGTCTGTTTTTGCAGGTCTGTAAGATAATAAGAAACTAGGTTATTCTGGGTTTCAGTGAAAAAGCATCACACAACAGTGTTGGAAAACATTAACTCAAAAAACTAAAATATTGTATTATATACATATTTTAATATAAATATTCATAGAATGTTCGTTCAAAGTTATCTGGTCTTCACAAACACATTATTTATTGCTATTTAATGCTTTTTCTTGACATATTTTAGTTGGAAATTTGTTTAATTAAAAAAATGTTACTACTTGTTTCAGAATGTTCACAGAACATTCAAAATGAAATGTTCCCATAATGATTTTGCATAACCAAGAAAAACATTTAAAAATACATTAACAAACTGGGTGTTTTGAACATTCATAGAAATATTTTTTTATAAGAGGAACATTAGCAAAAGGTTCATAGAATATATTTCTGTCTGCTGGGTTTACAGTGTTTTTTGAAATTAGCATTTTTTTTTTATTTAATTGAAATTCTCTTTATTCTCAATGCTGATTGTAATTTTGAATGATTCATTTTTAAATGAATGCAAAAATTTAATTTTTAAATTCAAA